CAGAGAGGAAGGGAGAGAGATAGAGAGTTAGAAACATCGATGAGAGAGAAACATCGACCAGCCGCCTCCTGCACATCTCCCACTGGGGATGCGCCCGCAACCCAGGCACATGCCCCTGACCGGAATCGAACCCGGGACCCCTCAGTCCGCAGGCCGACGCTCCATCCACTGAGCCAAACCGGCTTTGGCTGGTTTCGGCAGTCTTTATCCTTTTAAAAGTATGCCAAAAGTGGAATCTGCTCCAGATGTGTTTTAACTAGTACAGGTTAAAGTTAGGCTATCCCCTCAATGTTCCAGATACCATATTTCTTTTGATGCAATCTGCTTTTTGACAGCCACATCATATTTTTTAATTTAATCAACTAACCCTCTTGCATTAAGTGAACTAACATCTTCAGGAAGTACACAAATGAACATGTGGTAGCTATGATGAAAGCAGCCATCAGAGAGACAGAAGTTATATGAAGTCTACCTGACATATAGAGTGTAATTGACGTTATTTCCATGTTTGATTTGGAATAAAAGGCCAAGGAGATCCAAATCAGGTTCTGGATTATGCTTACCAGCCACAAATACAGGTGTGGAGAAGTGGAATAATCAAAGACTATCGTTTATGTGGAAGAGCAGGATTAGAGTTCCTCTTGCTTGTTAATGCTCAATAGAATAACTCCAATACACTTCCAGATGCTGCTTTGCCTTCATGATGTATTAGGGAGTAGGGAAACTGCTTCAGAAACAAACATGAGAAAGGGTGTGGCCCTGAATCACATCATCCCCTTCACATTTTGTGCGGGCCTAGCTACACAGAGCTAGATAAGTGGCTAGGACATGGCAGTGCTGAAATGTGGAAAACCTGAGGCTCCTTGTAGAGATAGAACCTAGTGGCCTGTTGGATTTTGTTCATAAAATGATTTTGATTGGGTCACAAGTAAATAGTCAAGAAATTTCCTACTCCATGGCATTTTGTCAGCACTATGTAGGAGCTTTAAAAAAATCATTTTAAAATCATTTTCCTCCAACTCTACTGTTTTAAAACATGAAAAAAGTTGAAAGAATTTTAGTGAGTCCGTATTCCATCTAGATGTAACAGTTGTAAAATTTTGCCATATTTGCTTTGTAACTGTCTATATCTATTGTTTCTTCCTATACTATTTGAAAATAAGTTGTGGACAACTTGACACTTCACCCTAAATCCTTTCATAAGAACTTTTCCTGGCTGGCTTTTTGGAGGCATTCTAATGGTAGATTTATGTAATTGACTAAAAAAAAAAAATACTGATGTCAAAGGCTACTGTCACCTATAATACTGTAGTTTACAAGTAGTTTTCATATTCATTATTCCGTGTGAACCCAAGCTGTGATATAAAGTAGACAAGACAGATACAGATTCTTACCTGGCTTAAGGCAGACATGCTGATGATGGAAATAGTTTTCTCACCTTTTCTTCTGTCAAGCTGTGACAAATATTTGAGAGTATACCCTCAGAGATAATCAATACCCCTAGCTCAGGGCAGCTCCATGGTGGGTAAATGGCTCTTTGTAATGGTAAAGAGAAAGTAAAAATGAAAAACAGTCTATTCTAGGCAAGAGAACTTACTTATATTCTTTGTTGGTAGGTAATTCCAACATGGAATATTTCACCAATTAAGAAGGCCAATGAGATTAAGGTAAACTTGGAAGAGGTAATTCTTAATCTTTTCCAGAAAGACTTCATCAGTTTTGAAAACTAAGTACTTTTTATTTGTTAACATTTTGGGGACTTTTAAATTAAACTCTTAAAATTCTAGCTTTAATTTTTCTCTGTTCTATTAACTGCTAGGTTTGGCTTTCTTGCTAGGGGTCTCTTTAACCCCTGCTTCTTGTTACTTGCTTTTAGCTCATTGTATTCTTAGGATTTTTTCCCCTCCTGCTTTGTCTTTTCCCCCTTATTTTCCAAATACATATGGCTTATATTTCCTATTCATTTCTTCCTGTAATTGTATTTATGAAGCCTCCTCAGTTTGTGGATATCAACCTTGAAGAAGATGATTCCTCAGATGAAGAGTACCAGCCAGATGATGAAGAAGAAGATGAGACTGCTGAAGAGGTCAGTGGTGACCCTGTGAGTGTTGATAATATAGAAAAAAAATTGGCTCAATAGGCAGAGTGTATTTTCTTCCTTTGTAATGTCACCTGTTCTATAGAGAGTATTGAAACACCATTCTTTTTCTACTCACTTTGCATAAATCCAAGTCTGAGAGGTATTTTCACACTCTTAATTTTGTCACATCTTGTGTTATGAAATATAACATGTAACATACAGAGCTGTACATACAGTAAAAATATACAGCCTAAGTACAAAGCTAATTCTCATGAAACTTCTCCAAAGTCATTAAACATAGCATTGCCAAGATACCTCTTATTTGCCCTTCAAGATCATAATCATTTCTCTTCCCCTAAAGATAACCATTATCCTGACTTTTTGGTAATTACTTCCCTGTTGTTGTTGTTTTTTTTTAATAGATTTTATTGGGATAGAGAGTTAGAAACATCGATGAGAGAGAAATATCGATCAGCTGCCTTCTGCACACCCACTACTGGCTATATGCCTGCAACCAAGGTACATGTCCCTGACCGGAATCGAACCTGGGACCCTTTAGTCCAAAGGCCGACGCTCTATCCACTGAGCCAAACCAGTCAGGGCCCTTATTGTTTTGATTTAATATTTTTATTAATTTCAGAGAGGGAGAGAGAGAGAGAAACATCAATGCTGAGAGAGAAAATCATTGATTGGCTGCCTCCTGCACACCCCTCACTTGGGATTTAGGCCGCAACCCGGGCATATGCCTCTGACTGGAATTGAACCCGAGACCCTTCAGTCCACAGGCTGAGGCTCTATCCATTGAGCCAAACTGGCTAGGGCTTCTTGTTTTTCTTTATAGTTATGTTACCTAAATTTGAAGCTCTACACATTACAGTTCAATTACTGTTTTTAATATAAATGGACCCATAGTGCATGTATTCTTTTTTTTGGTAGAAAAGCAAGCAAGAATTTATTGATTGCTACAAAAACACACTTAGGACAGGAAACAAGGAAGGACATTGAAACAGCAACAGGAGACCCCAGGCTTGGCTGCTTTGGCTCACTAGGAAGTCAGAGAAAAGGGCTCTTGGAGACAGGTTCAGGTAGTTAGCCCTGGAAGAGGTGCTGCTGCCCATTTCTCCCCTGGTCACAAGTCTCCTGGGGTCCCTTGGTGTTTAGGAGATCCATACCTGTTGGGGAAGGAGAAGGGGGAAGGATTGGCATGGTTATATTCACTAAAGGGAGAGGGTCTGTATTCTTTTGTGTCTGGCTTTCTTTTTTAACATTAGTCCTTTGAGATTCATCTATCTTGTTTCTTTTAGCTATAGTAATATTCTGTTTCTTTTTCGGGAATATTCTATTTCTAAATGTGTTGTTTGACTTGTTTATAAAAGGATCTTTGATAAATGCCTTACAATTTTACAGAGTTTGCATTGCTGATGAGCATATTGATCTGATGATCTCTGTTTCCACCTTCAAAATATTAAGCTTTTATTTAAAAGTATTTTCTCTTACTCTGACTAATTAAATGATAATTTGTGATTCATTCTCTTGAGATACTTCAAACTCAGTGGAATAGGTAGAGGCATAAATGTAAAAGTGAACCGGATATGTTTTGTAGAGTTTGTTGGAAAGTGATGTTGAGAGCACTGCTTCATCTCCACGTGGGGCAAAGAAATCCAGACTGAGACAGTCTTCTGAGGTGAATGAAACAGATGAAGAGAATGGCATATTATCAGAGGTAAATCTGCATCATACAAAAGCGATGTTATAACTGTGATTTCTAAGCTATTACCCTTTGCCAAACATGCATCAAGATCAATAATCATGCCAGGATCTTCCTCGAATTTTTAACTGGTTATTGTAACTGTTTCAATTCCAAAGTCTCTTAAATCAATGAACATTTTAACAGCAAACTGAACCCAGTGATCGGGAAAGAGCTTTTGTGATGTCTGATTAAGGGACCAAATATGAGTGACTAACAGAGCTTCTTCTTTTCTACTCTTCTCTTTTTTATACCAGTTTTCTAATATTGTCCTAAAGCCATTTTTATAACATTTCCCACTTTTGGTAACCTAAGTAGCATCCTGTTGGTTTCATTGGATTGTCCTTGGAGTTAGGGATTAACAGGACTAAGGAAGGGAATAAATCCATAAAACCCCTTAACTAAGTGCCAGGCGGGTAGTTAATCACTTTAACTATGAACAATCACGCTTAAGATACATAATCTTTACTTAGGATAATCTCCTTCAGTTACTTCCTTGTAGCTTAATAGAACAATAGAGTAACCTTGGAATGGAGAAAAGAAATGCCCTGACCTTTGGAATAGAATGGATAGGATTAAAACCAACTGGTATAAGTACAGATGTAACACGACAATAAAGAATAGAACTTGGCTGGAGAACCTGACTAGAGAACCTGACTGGAGAACCTGGTGAGAGAACCTCGCTATGATGATCAACTGAACGCTGCCTCCGTGTCCTTCCTTCTTCGCCGACTCCATCCACACCTTTGGGAACCCCTGGACCTGCTGGGGCTGGACCCCAACAATTGGAAACGGCATGAAATCTAATTAAATTAATATACTTGACAGAGTCTTTGTTTTTATGTACCTCCATCACATCTATCCAGATGGGTCCAGAAAGATCATTAGTATATGAAAGATATGCCTCCCTCTCACCTTCCATCCCTTCCATTGACTTTTTAATGTGCTTGCATCTTTTAATCAGGCTGAGAAGATTGCCACACCTGCCATCAGGCACATCAGTGCTGAGGTAGTACCCATGGGGCCTCCACCACCCCCAAAGCCCAAACAGACCAGAGATAGTGCTTTCATGGAGAAGTTGCATGCTGTGGATGAGGAACTGGCATCTAGTCCGGTCTGCATGGATTCTTTCCAGGTAAATATAATTCTAATCGCTCAGAGCCCTGGCCGGTGTGGCTTACTGGTTAGAGTGTCACCCCATGCACCCATGGGTCAAGGGTTCTATTCCCGATTCAGGGCACATACCTGGGTTGTAAGTTTGATCCCCAGCCCTGGTCTGGGCATGTGCAGGAGGTACCCTATTGATGTGTCTTTCTCACATTGATGGATGTTTCTCCCTCTCTCTCTCTCCCTCCCTCCTCTCATTCCCTCCCTCCTTCCCTTCCACTCTCTCTAAAAATCAATGGAAAAAATATCCTCAAGTGAGGATTAACAACAGCAAATCTTTTTTTAAATAATAAATCACTGGGAAAGTCAAATGGAGTAATTTATTTGTTGCTCATGTTGGGAAGAGAGAAGGGACAATATTACATTTTGTTTTTTTTAAAATATATTTTTTATTGATTAAGATATTACATATGTGTACATTTTGATATGATAAGTGAAAGTTATGAAATTGTAGGTCTTTGATATTCTTTTTTATTTGTATTATTTTATTGTGAGAACGGCAGCTCCTAAGGAAGGAATAAGGTATATGAAAGAAAGCATTTTTTTTTAAATTTTATTTTTTATTACAAAGGGTATTACATATGTGTAAAGAAAGCATTTTTAAATGTGAAACATAGCCCTAGCCAGTTTGGCTCAGTGGATAGAGCATTGACCTGTGGACTGAAGGGTCCTGGGTTCAATTCCAGTAAAGGCACATACTTCAGTTACAGCTTGATCCTTGGCCCTGGTCTGGGCGCATGTGGGAGGCAACCAAATGATGTGTCTCTCTCACATCAATGTTTCTCTCTCTCTCTGTCTCTCCCTCTCTCTAATTTCTTTCAAAAAATCAGTGGAAAAATATTCTCAGGTGAGGATTAACAACAACAAAGCCTCTTGAGGTGACATTTGAGCTGAAATCTGAATGAGAAAGCCAGGCATGTATAAAAGATCTGGAGGAAAAATGGTTCATTCAGAGGAAATAGCACATTTAAAGCCCCTGATTCATAAGGATCATGGGAAGTAGTAGTAGGAGTGGGGTCAAAGAACTAGGCTAGAGTGTGGGATCATAAAGGTTTTGGAAAACTATGATAAAGAATTTAGAGTTTGCCCAGTCTGGGTAGCTCAGTTGTTTTGAGAGTCATCCTGATAACACCAAGATTACAGGTTCAATCCCCGGTCAGGGCACATACAAGATTCAACCAATGAATGCATAAATAAATGGTACAACAAATCTCAATCTCAATCAATCAATCCCTCCCTCCCTCCCTCCCCTTCCTTTCCCTTCCTTCCTTCCCTCCCTCTCCGCCTCTTTCCTTTCTCTCTAAAATGAGTAAATTTAAAAAAATGTTCTTTTAAATAGCAACCCAATTCAAAAATGGGAAATATAGGGAGGAGTTAGAGGAGGATGAACAACGAAAGGGAAGGGATTAAAATGTACAAATTGTTAGTATAAAATCAGTCAAGGGGAATATAGTCAACAGTATGGTGTCAGATGGGTATTAGACTTAATGAGTTAATCACTTTGTAAGTTATATAAATGCCTAATCACTATGTTATATACCTAAAACTAATACTGTATGTCAACTATAATTGAAAAATTAAAAAAAAAATTTAATGGGCAAAGCATATGAATAGACATTTCTCCAAAGAAAATATGCAATGGTCAATAAGCAGTGAAAAGATGCTCCACATTTTCAGTCATTAAGAAAATGCAAATCAAAACTACGAATAGATGTCACTTCATTACCACTAGGATGGCTATAATAAAAAAGATGTTCAGTAACAAGTGTTGACAAGGATGTGGAAGATTGTGGAACCCTCATATGTTGCTGCTGGGAACATAAACTGGTGCAGCCACTTTGGAAAATGGTTTGGTGGTTTCTCAGTAATTACCATATGACCCAGCAGTTCCTTTCCCAGAGAACTGAAAACATGTCCATGTAAGAATGTATACACAAATGTTCACAGCAGCATTATTCATAATAGCTCCAAAGTAGAAACAAATGAAATTTTCCTCAAGTGATAAATGAATAAACCAGAAATTGTATATCCATATAATGGAATATTATTGTGCACTAAAAAGGAACATAGTTGTGATACATTCTGCAAAATGAATGAACTTACATTAAATAAAAGAAGTCAGAGACAGAAGGCTACGTATTATATGATTCCATTTATATGAAATATCTAGCATAAGCAAGTCTTTAGAGACAAAGTAGATAAGTGGTTAACAGACCGGATGCAGGTGAGAATGGGGTGGAGAGTGACTGCTAATGGGAATTGGATTTTGGGGGAGGAGGATGATGAAAATGTTCAGGAATTAGATACTAGTAGTGTTGATGATTACACAATTCTGTGAATATAGTAAAATCCACTCAATTTTATACCTATAATGGTGAATTTTTTTTTAATGAAAGGATCATTTCTCTTTTTTTGAAAAAATACATTTTTATTGATTTCAGAGAGAGAAACAACAATCATTGATTGGCTGCCTCCTGCACACCCCCTACTAGAGAATGAGCCTGCAACCCAGGTGTGTGTCCTCACTGGGAATCAAACTGTGACCTGGTTTATAGGTCAGTGCTCAACCACTGAGCCACTCTGGCCTGTCTTTAATGGTGAATTTTATGACATATAAATTATAGCTTAGTAAGCTGTTTTAAATATCCTTGAAATTTGGTTTTAAGACTTACATCATTGTCCTTAAAGTTTCTCAAAGAATAATGAACCCAAATTGTTTAGAGAAGAGACTTTGTCGTTTTAGCTAAGAAGAGACGCACACAGGAGATGATGAGGTTTGAAGAATTTGGAAGCATTAGGCATTCACTGACATGTTTTATTTCCTTCTCTTTGGCTAGCCAATGGATGACAGTCTCATTGCGTTCCGAACCCGCTCTAAGAGGCCTCTGAAAGATGTTCCCCTGGGACAACTCGAGGCAGAGCTTCAAGCTCCAGACATCACCCCAGACATGTATGACCCCAATACAGCAGATGATGAGGAGTGGAAGCTGTGGCTTGGGGGACTCATGAATGATGATGTGGGGAATGAAGGTAAGTAGTTTCACTTGCATTTACTATCTACTCTGCTTTCTCTGTGGTGAAATTTTCATTAGTTAGAAGCTTAAAGACGGTATTTTTGGTTAATTGAATTTGGTATTTATCAAGCAATTTATTTTAAACTAGAGGCCTGTTGCACAAAATTCGTGAACTCAGGGTTGGGGGGTTGTCCCTCTGCCCAGCCTGTGCCGTGAGCCCAGCTTCTGGCTGAGCAGCGCTCCCCCTGTGGGAATGCACTGACCACCAGGGGGCAGCTCCTACATTGAGCATCTGACCCTAGTGGTCAGTGTGTGTCATAGTGACTGGTCATTCTGCTGTTTAGTCGGTTTGCATATTAGCCTTTTATTATATAGGACTAGAGGCCTGGGGCATGAGATTTGTGCATGGGTAGGGTCCCTAGGCCTGGCCAGCAATCAGAGCTGATCTGTGGGGTCACTGGTGAGCCCCTGCTCGCTCCCGCCTTGGTGGGCCTGGCACTATCTGCTCACCGACCCCACCCCCACCACCCCACCACCACTGCCGGTTGGGGCCTGCGGGCTGGGGACAGCTCCTGCATTGAGTGTCTGCCCTCTGGTGGTCAGTGCACATCATAGTGACTGGTCATTCCTCCATTCGGTCAATTTGCATATTACAGTTTTATATAGATAGGTTAGTATGTAAATTCCCCTCTCCCTCCTTTTTTGGTTTAGAATCTTTGGGAATCTTGAATGCTAAGAATCCTCCCCTGAAATATAAATGCACACATAATTTTATATACCCTCCCATTTGAGTGCATTGATTCACTTGACTGTTGTGTTAAGGTTCTTTGTGATGCAAGTGAAAGAATCCAAACTCCCACTTGCAAGAAGGTCAGATGAAACCAGACTTTGCTAAAGGGCAGAAAAACCTGCAGTAGAGTTGAGACCCTGTTAAGGCCTCCTTCTTTCTCTATAGCCTTCATCTCTACTTCTTTTTGTCAGTCAACTCCATTATTAAACCTGTTTTATCCTGTAAGGCTTGTACCATAGTCATAAGCACACTTTACTTCTTGCATTGTCCTCAGATCAGAAGGACTCTCTCCTACAGGGTCCAGTTGGAAAATCCAGGGGAACAACTCAGATTGCCTTCGTTTGATCACTGATGCTCAGTTTCTTGGTGTTGCATGGGATTGATTGGAAGGCTGTTTCATCATGGAGTTCTCTGATTGGCAGAACCTCATAGAACAGTGTGGTTGGAGTATGTAGTTGGTCAAAAGAAGTGATGGTGTTTCCAGAAGTGAGGAAGGAGTATTAATGAGACAAAAAATAACGTTGACTAGTCATACGTCATGTAAGAATCCTTACCATAACCTTGACTTTAGAATATAAGTAAAAGTTCTTAGTTTAATACTGTGAAATTACGTTATTAAAATTGGTGAGTTTTAAAAAGTGTACTGTAGTGCAAATCAGGCATAATTTAATTGTTTTGTACAATACATTTCTGTAGATTTAGAAGACATGAGGTTGATTTCATTTGTAGTGATTCCAGATGTTGTCATATTCTCTTTTTTTAATCTTCACCCAAGGATATGTTTTTCATTGATTTTTCAATATGTTTGTCAAATAGGTATTCAGAGAACATTGGCTGACCCATTTGTGTGTTGTAGGCAGAAGTTGCCTGTTGCAGCCGTAACTGGTTTGGCTCAGTGGATAGAGCGTTGGCCTGCGGACTGAAAGGTCCCAGGTTCGATTCTGGTCAGGGGCATGTACCTTGGTTGCGGGCACATCCCCAGTAGGGGGTGTGCAGGAGGCAGCTGATCGATGTTTCTCTCTCATCGATGTTTCTAACTCTCTATCCCTCTCTCTTCCTCTCTGTAAAAAATCAATAAAATATATTAAAAAAAAGAAAAAAAAAGAAGTTGCCTATTGCTGTTCTTGCACCCAAACCAGATGGGTGTGCAAACATTAATATAATATCCATATGTTATAGGTTCTTTCAGTGCTTTCATTATTCAGCAATGTTGGAAAAGGATGTGCTGTGAAGAGACTTATGAAGAAAGGACTGTAGAGATTAGGAAGACAGAATTCCATTCCAAGGATTAAAGAAATGTTATTGGGGAGATAAACCCACAAATGCATGAAAAAGATTTGACATTCAAATAGCTATATATAAACAATGCAACTTAATATTTTATAAACTAGTATTAATATTGAGTAAAGAATATAGGTTAGATGAAGTTTAATCAGTACAGACTTTTCAATGATTATGGACCAAAAATATGTATATATTTTTATTTTTAAAGGAAGATTTTAATATGAAAAAGTAAATTGTGAAAGGGTACAAAGTAGAGTTCTATTCTTCAATCTTTGTTAATACTTTCTAGATATTTTCTGTGTATTTAATCAAGCACATATTTATCTCACATATTTTTTTTCCACAAAAGGAATCATACGGCACATATTGTTCTGCCTCTGAAGCTTTGTTTCTTTCACTTAATCAAGTTCGATCTCTTTCCATTGTAATACATAGACATCTTCCACTCTTGCTTAATGGCGATGCAGTGGTAAGGAATTTAGTTTTCTCATTTGGTGGATTTAAAAAAAAATTCAGTTCCTGCCTTAGCTGGTTTGGCTCAGTGCATAGAGCAGCGGTTCTCAACCTGTGGGTCGTGAACAATGAAAATACATCCTGCATATCAGATATTTACATTACGATTCATAACAGTAGCAAAATTACAGTTATGAAGTAGCAACGAAAATAATGTTATGGTTGGGGGTCACGACAACATGAGGAACTGTATTAAAGGGTTGCGGCATGAGGAAGGTTGAGAACCACTGGCATAGAGTGTCAGCCTGTGGACTGAAGGGTCTCAGGTTTGATTCCGGTGAGGGCACATGCCTGCGCTGGGGGCTTGTTCCCCAGTAGGGGATGTCCAGCAGGCAGCCAATCAATGATTCTGTCTCATCCATGATGTTTCTGTCTCTCTCCCTCTCCTTTCCTCTCTGAAATCAATAAAGATATATTGAAAAAAAAATTCAGTTCCTCCGTTGCACTAGCCACATTTCAAGTTCTCAATTTCTACACATGGCTGGTGGCTACTATTATTGTACAATGCATATGTAAAATGTTTTCATCATTGTAGAAAGTTCTCTTGGACATCACTGATCTAAAGTTGTCCCAGGACCCGGCTAGTGTGTGTCAGTGATTAAGCGAAAACCTATGAACCAGAAGGTCACGGTTTGATTCCCAGTGAGGGCACATGCCTGTCAGGCTTGATCCCCAGTAGGGGGCATGCAGGAGGCAGCCAATCAGTGATTCTCTGTCATCATTGAGGTTTCTATCTCTCTTTTTCCCTTCCTCTTTGAAATCAATAAAAATATTTTAAAATAAATAATTAAAAAATAATTAAGTCTCAGAAAAATATTACCATAATATAACAATAATTCAGTGAATTCTTTCTAACCTCCTGGTTCATAGGTCAGTGCTCAAGCACTGAGCCACACTGGCTGGGCAAACAATTTTTACTGAGAAATGGGGAAGATATCATAGAGAAAATTATTAGGGAGAAACACAACCACATTTCTATGTCCTAACATAACAAATGCTTATTATATTTGTGTGTTTTAGTTATTTTTGAGTCCTAATATAGGGATATAATTTTTGAAACTTAATGATTATTATATGTTCTTAATTGTGTTTTTTGTCATGTATGTATTGAACTTTTATAGAATGTTGCATCTTTGCATTTTGTATTATAGTCATTTCCTAATTTGGGGGAATTAGATTTATTCCTTTTTTCACTATCAATGCCTTCATGGGTTTAACAAAAGTATTATTTTCATAAGATATGCACTAATCAAAGTGAGATTCCTGAGATAAATTATATATTCAGTTTTCTGGCTTTTGTTGCATTTTGACAGATTTAAGTCTTGTTTGGGGGACGGAAGAAATTTGGCTTATTGGAGAGAATAGGTGAGATGAGTCAGCTATAGGAAGTGATCTGTGCAAAGGCATAGAGGGAAAAAAACTATTTAAAAACTTAAGGATGAATGTACTTTATTGGAACAGATTATCATAGTGCTGAATATCTTACATTGTCACTAAAGATAAGAGTTGCGAGTTGAGAATGAGTGTCTGAAACTTTGTGTTTTCTAGATGAGGCGGATGATGATGATGATCCAGAATATAATTTCCTGGAAGACCGTGACGAACCAGACACAGAGGATTTCCGCACCGACCGGGCAGTGAGAATCACCAGTGAGTCTGTGTTTACTATGGGTCCTGCTCTTGACTGTCCTATCTACATTTGTTCACTTTGTATATTTTTGAGGGTAAAGTTTGCACTCCATTTAATCTAAGACATTTAAGCTTCCTCTATCCTATTTCTATAAATCTTTAAATGTAGGTATATATTCAGAAAGCCTATCAGTTGTTCATTTACACATCCCACAGTTATGTATTGAGTCCAGTATTTGGCAGGGATTATACTTAGGACACCATAATGAATAAAACATGGCTGTGTCTTATAGGGTGACAGTTTAGTAGGGGATACAAACAGAAAACATTATAATAGCCCTAGTCGGTTTGGCTCAGTGAATAGTGCATCAGCCTGTAGACTGAAGGGTCCCAGGTTCAATTCCGGTCAGGGGCAAGTACCTGGGTTGCCCAGTAGGGGGTGTGCAGGAGGCAGCCAATCAGTGGTTCTCTCTCATCATTGATGTTTCTCTCTCTGTCTCCCTCTCCCTTCCTCTCTGAAATCAATAAAAATATATTTAAAAAAAAGAAAACATTATAATACAAAGTGATAGGTGCTATAATAAGTTGTGTATAAAGTATGCTAGTGGCCGAAACTGGTTTGGCTCAGTGGATAGAGCGTCGGCCTGTGGAATGAAAGGTCCCAGGTTCGATTCCGGTCAAGGGCATGTACCTGGGTTGTGGGCACATCCCCAGTAGGAGGTGTGCAGGAGGCAGCTGATCGAAGTTTCTCTCTTATCGATGTTTCTAACTATCTCTCTCCCTTCCTCTCTGTAAAAAATCAATAAAATATATTAAAAAAAAAAGTATGCTAGTGGCCTAAAAGAGGGTATAATCTAGTGTATGGTATGAAATTAGGGTGGGAGGGCTTAGGGAAGGATTCACAAGATGAGGTGTTTTTTTTTTTTATCCTAGTTTTGAAGGAGGAATAGGAAATTTATGGCAAATGGGGGCAGAGAAGGATATTATAAATATAAGAGCATCTATAAACAGCAGAATTGTGAAACAATAATAAGTGTGTTGGGAACATAGTAAGTGGTTGGTATAGTTGTGTGAGTGAGTGGTGGTAGAAAAGGATAATCAGTGTTCAGAACTTGAATTTGAGAACCTTGAATTTGAGTTTTGATTTATCAAAAAGGAGAGCGAGCTCAAAGAGTTTTAAGTAGGAAATCAATAGGAACTTATTTGGATTTTAGAAATACCATTTTGATTAAATGCCGGTTTAATATAAAGAGAGCAAGATTAGAGGCATGCAAAGCACATCACTTGACTTGAGTCATTTGTTTGAAAAATTACTTCATTGCCAATGATGAAAAACATATTTCAGAAATTATTGATTTTTTAAAATATGTTTTACTGATTTTTTTACAGAGAGGAAGGAGAGGGATAGAGAGTCAGAAACATCAAAGAGAGAGAAACATCAATCAGCTGCCTCCTGCACACCCTCCTCTGGGGATGTTGCCCGCAACCAAGGTACATGCCCTTGACCGGAACCGAACCTGGGCCCCTTCAGTCCGCAGGCCAATGCTCCATCCACTGAGCCAAACCGGTCAGGGCAGAAATTATTGATTTTTATTGCATGCATTAAACACCCACTATTGGTCCTGAGACCTCATCAGGACAATTTTTATTATTACTGTTGTTTTATATAAATATTTTAAGAATATTTTATTTATTTCAGAGAGGAAGGAAGAGGGAGAGATAGATACATCAATGATGAGAGAGAATCATTGATTGGCTGCCTCCTGCATGTTCCCTACTGGGAATTTAGCCAGTAACCATGGCATATGTCCTGACCGGGAATTGAACTGTGACCTCCTTGTTCATAGGTCGAAACTCAACCACTGAGCTACTCTGGCTTCACAAGAATAAGACTATTTAGTTCGCTCATGTATTCCAAGTATCTAGAACAGGCTTGAGGCATAGTTGGTATTCAGTAAATGTTTTTGAATAATGAATATTAGATATATATGAGGATTTTGTCAAATGCCTTGCTGAAAATAACATACATTGTTTTCTTGGAATTCCCTCTTATGAAATTAACTTGTGCTCACAACATACTGTTTGGGTTTTCTTGCAGAAAAGGAAGTGAATGGACTGATGGAAGAACTGTTTGAAACTGTGAGTAATGATCCTTGAGTATGAATTCAGGCTGGTAAAAGTGGATTCTTCAGCGAGCTCTGTCTTTTTGGTCCGAGGGCCCCTGCCTCCAGAATGGCATTCATACAAAGCCAGTTCCCCCTTTAGCCCACCCAAGAGAGAATATAATGGCAGGAGAATATTGGTAACTAACGAACTTTGGTTATCCATATATAGATAATTCTTAGTAAACTTTACTTGCAAACTTTGGAAGGCCTTCCCAACCATCATTTGGTGCAGCTTTAAGATTGCATACTAGTTTTAGATTATTCTAAATCACATAGTTACCTTGCTCGTAAATTTGTCTCGTGAAAGATAGTTATGATCACTGTGAGTTATCCATGCTCTGTTCTTAGCTGTACAGACTGACCAGTTGAGAGATTTTTTTCCCCTAGGGTAATAGTGGAGTCATCCCACGTGCAGGGCTGTGGAAGTCCTCAAGTGAGAAAAATACTCTGGTGCAAGCTCTTTCTGAGTGCCAGCATTATCCTGTAAGCTGTAGTGGTTAATTTCCCTTCTCACTGCTGCAGTGACTTCACAGGCTCGTTCCCAAGGAAAACGCTCCTTTTCCTTTTCCTCAGTTCCAAGATGAGATGGGATTCCCCAGCATGGAAGATGATGGCCCAGAGGAGGAGGAACGTGTGGCTGAGCCTCGACCTAACTTTAATACCCCTCAAGCCCTACGGTAGGCCTGTCAAAGACTTTGAAACAGAATAGAGAAAAAATGTCTTCTGGAAAGGTTTTCAGCAATTTCAGTTAATTCCCCAGCCCTCAGGGGGCGTTAGCTGTCAGGTGAATAAGTCTCCTTATGATGGGGCAGTGCAGCTATAGACCAAGCTGTATCTGTTTGGGAAGGGAGAAAAAACAGTAGCTGGCGTCCATGGCAACTTCTCCAGGTGAGTGGTGCTGGAGAGGTATGTAGGACTATGTGGCCAGCCACAAAAACTACCCCAAATTTTCATAGCCATCATGTCTCTTTTGTTCACTTCATTTGCCATTAACATCTAGTAAATGTTAATGAATGTTTGTTAATTACCTAGGCATCAATTGAGCAAACCATGAAGCACCTGTAATAATGCCCTAGGGTCTGAAATGTATGTACTGCCCTCTTCACATAAAGTTAGCACTTCTGTTGCTCCACCCAGAAAGTAGAGGCTTTCTTTTTTTCCCCTATTTTGGCGATGGGTTTGCATAATCTATCTACACTATTGTTACTCATTCTGAGTAGAAACAGAAGTCAGGATGGGGCTTATTCCATGGGTGGAATAAAGCAAAACTTAGAGATCCATGCTTCTAATTAGTCCTGTGTTTGAACAGAACAGCATTACCTAACTAGAGAGCCTGGGATCCATTTGAAAGGTAGTATTTAAGGGAACTTAAAATTTAGTGAAGACAACAAAGTATACTAACCAATGTGTAAAAGCTGGAAGTACTAGTCGTACTCCATTACAATAAATACCGTAATGAAACTATAACAAGGATCTCAGGATTTCCCCTTTGAGCTTTATGGAGGTGTTACTGACAGTGTGCGAGTTGGGTGGAGCGGGGTCTCCGTGTCCCCTGCTGGTGCTAATGGTGTTCATCAGGTAAATGTAGATTCAGATTTGGCACCTGCCTGCATCTGCCAGCTGTGTGCAGGGAGGGCTCAACACAGGGATAATGGTGCGCTTGCCATGAAGCCATACAATTCAGTTTGTTCTTGATATATCTCTGGCGCCTTTGGAGCTGCTGTCTCTAGGCTTCAGCTTAAAGTGAGTATTTGTAAGCGAGTGAGTCTGTAGGCAGGCCATTTTTGAGGACACCTGGTTTTCTAGCAGCCCTTTGTCTCACCTGGATGGGGTTTTAGGGAGTTATCAGGGTGTGGTGAGCCATATTCACTAGGTCAGTTAAACTGCCATGTATTTTAGTATATTCCTTGTTGCTTCATGCCTGAAGGTCTTTGAATTTTTAAGAAACAAAAGCAGTGCCAGAACAAGAGCGGAATGGGGGAAGCTAGATCGGGGATTGGAGTAATGGGTAAATCAGAGAATTTATGTTGTACTTTGAGGAGATTTTATATAATTGTTAAGAACAAGTTCCAGATTAATGTGCATATCAGTATGATATTGGAATGATAAGTTTCCATTTGCTCTTTGACTGCTTTGTTATCCTGATGGTTCTCTGCTCCTTCCCTTTTATTTGTATACTAGAGGCCCAGTGCACAGATTTGTGTACCAGTGGGGTCCCTCGGCCTGACCTGCAGGGATTGGGCCGAAACTGGCCCAGGGCACGGATTCGTCCAGGGTGTGTCAGGCCCTTTTCGCCCAGCCCCGATTGGTCGGATCCCAGCAGCAAACTAACCTACTGGTTGGAGCGTCTGTCCCCTGGTGGCCAGTGCACGTCATAGTGACTAGTTGAATGGTCAGACACTTAGCATATTAGGCTTTTATTATATAGGATTACTCAGAGGACTGATTGTAAAAAAACGGGGATGTGGTACAATTCAGAACCATCTTATTTGAATCTATGTTAACAACTTTGGGAAAAGATTTGGATAGACTAGGAGTTTTGCTTATTGGCTAAAGTGGGATTTAGGAATTATTAGTAGGTAGAATTTATGCAGATTCTCTGAGACCACTATTAGCAGGAACTGGATGTGTTGTGGACCTAGGGAATTGTTCACATTCAGTTGTCTCCCTGTTGGGGTAGGTTTGAGGAACCACTGGCCAACTTGCTAAATGAGCAGCATCGTACAATGAAGGAGCTCCTTGAGCAGCTTAAGTTGAGGAAAGCTTCAGCCAAACAGCAGCAGGAAGTAGAAAGGGTTAAGCCCCAGACCGAGAAAGCGCCTCAGACTCTGATTCTAGACCCAGCCCAGAGGAAGAGACTCCAGCAGCAGATGCAGCAGGTAAGACTCTTCTTGGTGACGTTACTGTTGGATCATCCCTTGGCTTGGCCTGGAGCCAGAATTAGCAGCTCGGTAAAAGTCAGAAATAGGTGTCTTGACACCCTTTGGAACCATAGGACCACAGGATCTTCACATCAACTAGGCCCTGAGAACTTATGTTCATGAGTCATCATGGCTCAGGCAAGAATGCATGTAAGTGTGTTGATAATATTCAGAATTACAGATTTCAAAGAATCCTGAGTAATCCATTCTGAATTTAACAGCCTTGGGGCCAGAATAGTTTTTTCTTCTTTCTAATCTCAGTTTCTCTGGTTTGAGGTTAAACTTCTCTGATTCTATGATTTTGTTCAAGGGGAACATATCTGTAGAATTTATACTAATGTGGTACTCGTAGACTATCGAGAAAGCAAAAGATGTATAATAAAGTTGCAAATATCTTGACCAGATCTTCTGGGTTCCGGAAATGGCATCATAACACATCACTGTATTGTTTTCTTTCCCTCCCCAGCATGTTCAGCTCTTGACACAAATTCACCTTCTCTCCACCTCCAACCCCAATCTCAACTCGGAGGCCAGTACTACCAGGATATTTCTGGTAAGGTTCCAAATATCCCTAACTCTAAAGATTGAGCATACAGTTACCTTGGCAAGTCATTTCTCACAGATATTCACCCACCATAATCTATATTTCTTCTTCTCTCCTGCATGTTTGGGTAGCTATTCCTATGTCTTCCTATCTTTGCTGAAAGAACATAAATCTGATCTTCATGAAAGGGCAGAGAGTGTATTCAGTTTTCTTAAGAGTATTGCTCTGACTTGCAGTCTTAAAGAGGTAATGTTGATTGTGAAAGAGTTTAGGATGGTTTTTTTTACCTGTTTTTATCCTGTAATAGGAAGGACAGTTTTTCACACAGAGGCTAAGGGCTATTGATAATAATGGCCTGGAACTTAAATCTCCTTTGTGCCCTGTTTTCCCAGGAAGAGCTGGGAACCTTTGCTCAAAGCTCCATCGCTCTTCACCATCAGTTCAACCCTAAGTTTCAGACCTTGTTCCAACCCTGTAACCTGACTGGAGCCATGAAGCTCATTGAAGATTTCAAAACACATGTCAGCATTGATTGGAGTCCTCGCAAAACTGTCAAGACGGGTAGGGGACAGTGGCTATTTTGTTTGAGTACTTAACACCCAGACCAACGTGTCTATTGTGGCAACAAATACCTCGAACCAGGTCCTTTGGCCAGCACGTGTCTGCCTTCACACAGGCATAATCTCCAAAACCTCGTCTTTGTGGAATGCCCCCAGGAAAAAGTCAATAATCTCAGATTACTTGATGGGCAGGGAGAAGAGCCAGATCTCATCCAGGGACTTGGTCTTCATGTCCTTAACCAGGCAACCCAGCTTGGTGACTGGAAGGACTCCTTGTCCTCGGCCTTGCCTCTGAGAGCTCCACGGCCGAGGCCCCGGCCCCGGCCCCCCTCAGCCTTGACCTTGGCCCCAGATGCCGCTGCCAAACCCTCCTCGGAAGCAGCTGCAGCCTCCCATTACGGGGCCCCTGGGCCCTCTGGGCCCTCCTGTAGCACCAGTGTCATCCACCATTTTGTATCTCATCAGAAAGAAGCAGCACCATATGCTCTATAAATATTTGCTTTTGATTTATTTCCTGGTTTAAACAATTAGTCGTGGTTTGGTCTGGATTTAGGTTTGTCTTTGGATTTGATTTTAAATCCATGACTCTTATAGTTAAATTGAATATAGTTGAATTTAAGTTCATTAGGTCATGGACACTGATCTCGAACTACTTTATTAGCTATAAGTTGGTACTGAAAACTTAATTTAACACCAAACTACAGTAATGACTAATAGATATAGTGTCCTGTGCTTTTTTTTCTGGTGATATAAAAACACTTATGGAAGGAGAAGTATGGCTATAGTAGTTCTTACCTCTGGAAAGGCAGAAAAATGCCTGGAATTGAGAGACAGACAGCAAGGCAGAAATGAATGGGACTGTGTCATCTTATTCCCCTTATGTTGTTTTTTCTTTTTAATTTCCAACCTCAAGAGGAATCTGGGAGAAACTTAATGAAAGTTAAGTAAGAATGAAATAAAATAAAATTTGGAATTTGGAATACCAGATTTGTGAGGGACATGTAAGAAGTTGAAATCTTATCCTGGAAGAAAGAAAGCATTGTTGAAGGTCATTTATCTTTCAAGGATTTTAAGGGGGAAGGAGGTAAAAATATTTTTAGCATATACAGTGTGCCAGGTATTAGGTATTTTCTAAGTATTTATGTTACTTAGTGTGTTAAGTGGAAAGAATAAGAAATAAATAGGAAAGAATAAGAAAATCAACTCTTGGTAACATTGAATGGGATTCCCATGAGGTGTATGTTAGGCTCAGAAAGTTGTGGAAACTTTTGTGGGGAGAGTTGTGTGGATTTTGAGGGGATTAAGTTAGGTAGGGACAGCTCTATCTAAATGCAAAAATGCAATCAGAAACTTCTATGAAGCCCTCTTTGTTCTAGAATTTAATTTATTGTTTTTTTTTTTTCTTGCAGCCTGTAAATTTCCCTGTTTACCAAAGCAAGTGGCTTGGATCCTGGCCACAAGCAAGGTTTTCATGTATCCAGAGCTCCTTCCAGTGTGTGCCCTGAAGGCCAAGAATCCCCAGGATAAGAATTCCTTCACCAAGGCCGAGGACAAGTAAGGGTTTATTGTGGAGGGGTGAGCCGGAATATCCTGAAGAGAAGGTCTAGTTCTTTTTTCTTAAGGAGCTTAGGGAAGTAAGGCCCGTATAAGATACGGACACAAAAGACAAAGAAAAGCAGTGTTGATTGTTATGGATAAGGTTCTGTAATATGTGCTCGTTTCAGCATTGCCAAATACTGTTCTTTTTGGGGGATGACATGCACATTTTCCAAACATTTTAAATTATGTTTTGTCTTTTATTGATTGTAAAAAACAATCTTGTAATATGTACTATTAGGGGAAACTTAGCAAAGGAAAAAAATTTTTATCCCCTATTCTAACCACCCCAAGATAGTGATTTTTCTCTTGCATTTCTTATATACCTGGTGATTCTTGGCTATTTAAATACATATACTTTCTGCCTTTTTTAAACTTAATGTCTTTTTGTTGTTGTTGTTTTGTTAATCCTCATCCAAGGATAGATATTTTTTTCCATTGATTTCTAGAGATTGGAAGGGAGGCAGAGTGAGATTATTTGATAAAGGCTAGGAATATTTTTATGGCTCTTGATGTGTATTGCCATCAGTAAATATGTACACAGGTAACCATAATAAATGCTGTTATGATGGGAGGTAGTGTTGGTGTTGATTTCATATACTTAGCATGGTGCCCATTGTTTTTTTATATTTGTTTTATTACAGCCATCCTCCTTCCTTTGAATACAAAGTTCAAAGGAATGCAAAGTATGAAAACTCACATGTTCTGACATTCATTAGTGATTTACGCTTAGGTTTTCCTCTTCCCACCCGGTTGTGAACTTCTGATTGAGTCTTACTCATTGTACTTATTAGCACTCAGTAAATATCTGAAATTTTTTGTTGAGTAGCCACGAACTTATACAAGAATTGGATGTAGAAAAAGTGGATTGTAAAATGTGGGGTTAGTCTGGGGAGCCTTTTTAGAAGAATGGATTGTAAAGTGAGATTTTGTGATATTGTTCCTTCCTCAGTTTGTTAGTTTTAGGACTAAAGCATTTTGAAGGGACTGAGTTTCCTAAGCCTCTAATCAGCAAGTACCTTTTAACTTGCAAAACTGCCCACCAGCTGACAGTGAGAATCAAGAACCGCAGCATGAACAGAGCTCCTGACAATATCTTCAAAGTAAGTGTTTCCTGCAGGTTCTGCCTGGGACTTGTTAGGGCTTTGGCTGGTGACTCAGGCTGTGAAAGAATTCACAACTAAAAGAAGAGATAGGTGCAGAGATGTGAGATATTTCCTCTTCTTTACTGTTTTGAAATTTCTTAATAATAGTCCTTAGTTTGGGTCTAGTTTCATTAAATACTTTAAAATAGTGAATGGCAGAGGTACAGTGGGCAAGCAGGAGAGGAAGAAGGCTGGAATTTCTGTATTGGTTAAGCAAAGTACCCCAACCCTCAGTTATGCCCAATGGCAACCGAGGTCTGTGCCCTTGACCGGAATCAAACCCAAGAGTCTTGGGGCTGACGCTCTATCCACTGAGCTAAACCAGCCAGGGCTCCATCTGCTCTTTAGCCTTGAAAATTTTGCTGTTATTTTCTCTCATTCTCTCTCTCCTTGTAGGCTTTTACCTGTAAGAAATTCCTTTCTGTTGTTTTCATGGGGTTTTAAAGGGAACAAAGACAAGTGGATGGTTTAAATGGTTTTAACAGTAGGTTTCTCCTTAACTCCTTAACCTGTGAATGTGTGGATATTATCCCCGCAAAGATGTTGAATTATCTCCCAGTTGGCTATCCAGTAGATACTTTTCTTCTCCTCTTAAACTTTGTAGTGCTGTTCACTCATTCCTTCCTTAAACTCCCTATTCTCTTATGCTCTGTGATACCAGGACTCTTACCGCAGGCTGCTCCTTCATGAACTCTTCTTCTCCTGCTCTGTCCTTAAGTATTAGTGTTCCACAGTAAATTGGATTAATGGTCTCATGATTTTCAAATTTGTGTCTTTGGTCCAGTTCTCTCCTGAGCTCTGACTTAGTGTAGCCAACTGCTTAAAGGAATTCTTAACTTGGTTGCCTCACTCCTCACTGACTCCTCAAATAGAACTTCTGTCTCTCCCTCTGTACTCTCCAGTTGTGCACTGTCACCACCAATAACAGCAAACTCTCCTCCCGGCTTACCCCATGTGGTCTGTGTGTATGTGGATGACATGAATGTCTCAGTCCGTAAACCTGGGAAGTGTTCTCAGTTCTTCCTGTTTGATCACTACCATGTCTGCCAGTCATCGCATCCTCAGCTTTCTTACTTTATTTCCTACTCAGTTGCCCATGGCCTTTGTTCAGGACTTGGTTACACTTGGATTACTGCAGTAGTTTTCTCTTTGTGGCTTCTTAAACATGTTCATGATTTGAACGTGAAGTACACTCTGCCCTCCCCTGCCTCATGTAGCAACTCCGTTCCATTAAAATTCATCTATGAATCAGTTGCACCTGCTCCAGGAAAATACTGTTCAAGTTTGAAGCTATGTGTCATTTTTTGTATAACAGTACATCTTGTACTTTTTTACACAGAATGTCATTATTGGTCTACTTGACTGTTTCTCCCCCTAGTCTGTAAGCTCCTTGAGAGCATGAATTGCTTCTCTTATTTTGTATGCTTAGCTAGTAGCCCAGGACCCAGCACATAGAAGCCATTCTGCAAATGTGAATGAATGGGTGCTTATTGTCATTGTAAGTTCAATTTCCATCTTCATTTATGCTTAAAACCTCACTGTCTCAGTCTTTCTGTTCTTTCCCCTCCCTTCTAATGTTCTTTCGCCATTATTTGCTTAAAAAAAAAAAAGAAGAAGCTTCCATATGTCCAGGGTGAGGGTTAAGGCAGATGTTGTGTAGGAGCAAATGTTAAATAAGATTTCTCTGACCTTCTGCTTCCTTTTCTCAGTGACCTAAACTTTTCCCTTCCTGGTGAGATGAATAGAGATGATCAGTTAAAAGACATTGAATAATTGTAAAATCTTTATTAATTAGAGATTAGTTTAATTTTAAATGCAGAAGCATTCAGCACATGCTGTTTATATAGATGTGTATATGGATGTGTACCTGTGTGTGTGTGTATGTTTGTGTCAGTCAAACCAGTGTCCACCCCACTCCTCACCCTGACGGAGGGCAATGTTTCTGAAAGAAATACAACTCATGCTTCTTTTCTTCATGCTCAGTTTTACAAGAAGACCAAACAGCTGCCCGTCTTCGGGAAGTGCTGTGAAGAGATCCAGCCACATCAGTGGAAGCCACCTGTAGAGAGGGAAGAACACCGGCTTCCATTCTGGTTAAAGGTGAGCCCTCCTCTTCCAGGACCAGGGGCAGCGGGTCACTAAAAACCTGGCAGAAACATCAGTTCCACTTTACACCTCTAATGCTTTAGTTGTAGAACCAGGATTTAAGAAATCTTCCTCATTCGTCTTTCTCTCCTTCCTCTCCCCTCCCCCGAGGTGGGTAAAATGATAGTTTCCTATAGGAAACTCAGAGAAGAGTTTCTAGAGTATGCAATAGGAATGTAGTCTTTGTAGAAATTTTATATTGTGCAGAAAAATCCTTCTTGAAAAGATTACCTTGAGACTGTCCTGACAAAGTTCCTAAAATCTAGAAAACCCTATTGTATTTTTTACCGAATTCTGACATATGCTAGATCAGAGTGTTTTTGTTCCCAATAGGCCAGTCTGCCATCCATCCAGGAGGAAATGCAGCACATAGCCGATGGTGCCAGAGAGGCAGGACATGCGACTGGCACCACTGAGATCAAGCCGGACCCAGATGTAGGAAAAACCAGCTTGGAATTGGAGAGTGAGACTCGGTACCCACTGCTACTGCCTAAGGGTGTAGTCCTGAAACTGAAGCCAGTTGCCAACTGTTTTTCCAGGAAGGGCTGGAGACAGAAGCGGTCATCAACCTTGAAGCCCCTCCTTATCAGACCCAGCCCCTCTCTCCAGCCTACCTCCAATTCTGGGAAAATACCGCTTAGGTCAACTCAGTCAGAAGCCCCTCCAAGCAAAATGGTGGTCCGGATTCCTCAAACGATCCAGCCGATCTTACAGACGGTGCCAGCTGTCCCTCAACTGAGGGTCACTGGAGGTGATGGTTTTGAGTCCGCAACAGTATTGCCTCCTCTCCCCCCCGAGGCCAGGACCAGCTTCCCTCTGTCCGAGCCCCAGACCCTGTTCTCTGCTCCTGTGCCCAAGATAATGCTGCCCTCACTTGCCCCTTCTAAGTTCCGAAAGCCGTATGTGAAACGGAGAGGCCCAAAGAAAAAGGGGACCAAGGCCTCTCTCTGTCTGAAGTCTGTCCCCCTCATCAACTCTGCACCTGTTATCTTCACTGTTCCTGCCACCACTGTGAAGGTTGTGAGCCTTGGCAGTGGCTGCAACATGATTCAGCCTGTAAATGCGACTGTGGCCCAGAGTTCTCAGACCCTTCCCATCACCACACTCTTGGTTAACCCTTCTTCCTTCCCATGTCCATTGAACCAGCCCCTTGTAGCCTCCTCCATCCCACCCTTAATTGTTTCTGGCAACTCTATGAATCTTCCTGTACAGTCCACCTCTGAAGAGAAGGCCCAAGTGAATATGGATGTTGGTTGTCCTTTAGATGAAGGGAAAAATGCCTTTCCAGGCCTGGTACCCAAATTAGAACCCCAGGACCTATCTCCTCTCTGTGCCCCCGTCTTCCCCAAAAAGGAGCACAGCCCAGGACCTCTGCCATCAGATGGAGTGTGCCAGGAAGACATGTCAGAAAACAGTGCCTATATCTGGACTGTTGTGAAAACAGAGGAGGGGAGGCAAGTTGTGGAACCACTGCCTCAGGGCTTCCAAGAATCTCTAAGCTCTCCTCCTGAGAATGTAGAGAAAATTGTCAAGATGGAACCTAAAGACCCTGGGGAGGAAGCCCCCCGGGCATCCCCGAAGCACACCATTTATGATGACATCAAAGAAGAGTACCCTGTGGAATTGGACACTGGCTTCCCAAGTGAGGGCTCAAGTGGTGCAAGAGAAGCAAAGAAACAGACAGTCTTACAAAAGGAGGAGAGGAACCAACTAGCTAAAACCCCATCAGCTTCTCAAGAGCCTCCTGATGGAGGAAACTCAGGAAATGTGAGCAAAGAATCGCCAAAGAACGCTTCATCCTCCATTGACCCTGAAACGGTGCTGAGCAGCCTCCCCGGGAAACCTGAAGACGTACCCAGCCTTGAGGGTCAGTTAGCAGGGACCCCGGCGAGGCCAGAAGCTGGAGGAGAGAAGGATGGGCCAGAGGAAGAGGAAGAAGAGGACTTTGATGACCTTACCCAAGATGAGGAAGATGAGATGTCCTCAGCTTCTGAGGAATCTGTGCTCTCTGTCCCAGAACTCCAGGTGAGAGATGGGAAGTATTTGCAAATATTTTGTGGACTCAGTAATATCAGTAGGTTACCTTGGTTGCTGCACTATAGATATTTCTAAAATCATTTTTATTTGCCTTTTGAAATAAAATTTTGGGTTTGCAGTGAGGAGAGGGAAAGGGTGACATTTGACTCATTATATTTGACTTAAACACATTTAAATGTTGTGTTGAATTACCTAAGCACAATTTAAATGCCTAAAAAATGGTCATAAGTGTGGACTGGGGCAAAGGAAAACTGTCTTCAGTGTAGAGGGGACCTCTCCCCCATCCCCTCTCCCAGTCAGCTGTCAGGCAACAATCCCAGCTACACCTATGACTCCATACCTCAGAGAACCAGGCTCCGATAATTGTGGTAATCTCTGTGGTGACCCCCACAGGTGCCCCCTGCCATATATGTGCGCACGCGCACACACTCTGATTGATTAACCTCAGTTCCTCTTGAAAAACTGCAGTTGGCACTTGATGAGCCATTACCAGCCCTTATGAACACTCTTTGGGGGGTGAGGGTTGCAGGAAACAATGGAGAAACTGACTTGGCTCGCATCTGAAAGGCGCATGAGTCAGGAGGGTGAGTCTGAGGAAGAGAACTCTCAGGAAGAGAACTCTGAGCCTGAAGAAGAGGAGGAGGAGGAAGCAGAAGCAGAAGGCATGGAAAGCCTGCAGAAAGAGGAGGGAATGACGGATGAAGCCATGGGAGACCTGGCTGAGAAACCTCCCACTGCCTTTGCCTCCCCCCAGGCTGCTCCAGAAGAGACCAGCAGGGCCCCGGCAGGTGAGCTTGGCAAGCCCGTGTGAGGGCAGGTCGCAGTTGGCCTCACTGTCTAAAGGCGTGTGCAGAGTGGCTCGCTTGTAAGCCAGGTGTCGACTTCAGAAAAACTCCTCTGGGTCACCCCTGCAACTTCCCTTCCCCAAAACGGAAGTTTAACTTGGTACCTTTACAGACGAGATGCTCAAAAAATTTAAAATTTTATTCCCATCAGCTGTTAGATTTGTATCAGGTTTATCTAAATTTTTGTACTGGTTCTTTTTAAAAAATATATGTTTTTATTGATTTTTAGAGAGGCAAGGAGAGGGAGAGAGAAATAGAAACATCTATGACAGAGACACATCGATCGGCTGCCTCCTGCCTGCGCCCTACTGGGGATCGAGTATGTGCCCTAACTGGGAATTGAGTCCAGGATCTCTTGGTTCATGGGAGGATGCTCAGTCTATTGAGCCACACTAGCCAGGCTCTCCTGGTTCTTCATTCATCTTTCATGCATGAGGCTAACACTGTGTGTATTTCAGAAAGCTCTGCTTATTCCTCACCAAGACATAGTCCCTTGAGAGCTTGACATAGGCCATGCTCACGCTTAAGACTGCTGACTCTGCATAGAGCTGACCTGTCAGACAGACATGCCTCTCATGCCATTTTCCCAGCAGTTTTTCTCCTGATTTATTTCATACCATTAAAAGGGTTTGCATGGGGTGGGCGCATGTGGTGGGGTGGGAAGAGTAGGGGTTGCAGCGATGAAGAAACACTCTTTTTCTCACGTACTCTAAGGAGAGAGCATCAAAGCTTCTGCAAAGGGCCGGAACAGCCATCGAGCTCGGAATAAGAGGGGCAGTCGGGCCCGAGCCAGCAAGGACACCTCCAAACTGCTGCTGCTGTATGATGAGCACATTCTCGAGCGGGACCCACTCCGAGAGCAGAAGGACTTGGCCTTTGCTCAGGCTTATCTGACGAGGGTAAGCGAATGCTACTTCCTGTACTGCTGTTCCCTCTGAATGAGGCTACTCCTCTAAGGAAGAGGTTTTTAAAATGAAGTTTGCTTTTCAGGCTCCACAACAGCCTTCGATGCCTCTGCCTTTGCTCTCCTGGAATTTCCTAAAGATCTGTGAGAGAACCATAAGGAGATAGAATTCAGTTTTAAGGAGGTTTACTGTTAGTACCTTAGCATCATCCCTCTATTGCCTAGAAATGGGGGAAAGATGGACACCACCATCATCAGTAAGAGGTTGTGACTTCCCTGGGTCAGCTAAAGTAGGGCCCTTACTGAGCCCTTGGCTTGTGGAGACCTCTGGTACACTGCCAGGGAGTGGATCTCTGAGAGGCACCCAGTCTTCAGAGGGAGGAACCAACCTGCTCCTTGAGTTGTCCTGGCTGGCGGTCTCATTCTTTTGCTATCTACCTGGTTCCTTTATCCCCCCCAAGCAAAGTGGAGTACTAGCAGTGCTAGTCATGACTTTCTTGTCTCCTAATATTTACTAACAATCCTAATTTTGTATTAGTTATCCTCAAATGATACCATGCTGAAATATAGGGATGGAATACTTATCTGTTTCAGTATGGAGCTAAATCAGGAAGGATAGAGGATAGGGCTGTGAGCTAGAAAAAAAGCTTACCTCCCTTTGTGGGGAAAATGGCCTTTCAGTTGCCCCTTAGCAGAAAAGGAGCTGTATGTACCTTGCTCATTGTCTTCCCATTAATGGTCAGATCTTAGGGCCTGTTAGAAGAAGGACAATTCTTAGAGGTCTCTAACAACAACTCCTCATCCTTTCTTGGTATTGCCTTTTTCTGTTGCAACGCAAAGGAAGGGTACTGATGACTGGTAGTCTTCCTGTACAGGTACGAGAAGCCCTGCAACATATCCCTGGCAGGTATGAGGACTTCCTTCAGGTTATCTATGAATTTGAGTCAAGTACTCAGAGGCAGACGGCTGTGGATCTCTACAAAAGCCTGAAAGTTCTTCTCCAAGACTGGCCTCAGCTGTTGAAGGACTTTGCTGCTTTCCTGTTGCCTGAGCAAGCTCTGGCCTGTGGATTGGTGAGTAGATGGGCAAAGACAGCACAATGGGACTCCCGGGTCAGAGCGAGATTGGATTTGAATAGAGAGTTGGTTACACTGTTCCAGGCTCCCGACTGCTTCCAGTCAGATAGCTTTTCCCAGCACAAGGCGGTAAGAGCCTCCTTTTCAAGAATGATCTTCCCAATTCCGTTCTCCCAAGTACGTTACATGGGACTAGGAGGCTTTTACCTTCAGTTGCCAGTGAAGACCTTAGTTAAATCATATGTCTATTGCTCCTCATTGTTGTAAAACAGGCATTCGTTGAACAAATATTTAATGAGTGCCTACTATGTGTCAGGCACAGTCCTAGGTACTACGACTATAGTAATTATAAAAAAGTCCTTGTCCTCATGGAGTTTACATTCTCGTGGGGAAAGTCACATGATAAACTGTGTTATGTAAAGTGCTGAGGTCTGTGAAAACCTCAGGGTGTTTCCAAAGAAATAACCCCGAGGACGAGCTGTGAAAGACACGAGTTGATTAGGACTTGACTTGTGCACTGGCTTCCATCTGTGATGTTTTCCATCGAGTCCCATCTGGCCTGCTGATAGGCCACCCTGGGGGCAGCCAGCTGGTGCTGTTGTCTAACCACCACACAGACTTCCTCAGCACACGGTTTTATCCTAGAGCACAGAAAACAAAGCAAATGGGGCACGCAGGGAAGGGGGTCATGCCCGAGGGCAGGCTGTGTGAAATCAAAACACTAGCTGTTTGCAATCCGGGCTCACATCTGGAAGCAGTTCCTCTTTGGCCTTTCTTAGTCCGAATTGCTGGCCAGGCTCCGAAGGCCTCACCGTCCACTCACAGGCCTTCTGTATATTCCCACAGGGTGGGAACGGGAGTTGGAGCTTGGGAAAGGGCCCATGTTCCCATTTACCATACAAACAGTAAAATACATCATTGTAAATATATATGCAGAGTATGGCAAATGTAGGTTTATAGTTGTATGTGAAACACAGTTTATCCTTGTATTATTTGTTTGTTAATTATTGTAGTATTTTCCATATGAACAACTATAAACCTACTTTTATCCTTCCCTGTATATTATAAAAATTATAAAATAGACATAAATAGTATATAGTATATAATGATTTATAGTAATAATGCTCTATAGAAAAATAAAGTAGAAAAGGGAATAGAGAGTAGTAGGTAAAATGGGTGAGGGCTAGGGTGTTTTATACATGGAAGGTTGGGAGAGCCATTGTGATAAGGTGACATTTGAAATGTTGGAGATCCAGTATCTAAACATGAGGGATATCCTGGTAGTTCTCATTTTCTTGTCATGAGTGGTAGACAGGAATAAAGGATATAATGAGAATTTTCTGATAGTCTTAAGGCAGTTCAGTGGTAATGGAATGATTATGCATATCACGCCAATCTTCTCTGTCTGTATTATGAGCATCCAATGAGTGCGTATGTGAAAATTCTTCGTAAACTGAATGCTACCTCAGTTTGAGTGTCTGATTTCACAGCGCATGAAACAGTAAACAACTTGAGATTTGTACATCTCTTGAATCTTTCATTCACAGCATAGTTACCTTGGACCAGTAGACTCCAGTAACCCAGGGTGAATAGATGCTAGAGGTCAATAAGAAGATCACACAGTTGTAAACTGGAGCCTTCCACCCCCTAGTCCCCCAACCCGTTTTGTCTTGGTTCTTAGCTTAGAGCCCTCACATCCGCTCTGGCTGCACAGGTGACTCCTCTTTTGCTCGCTTTTCACTCTGGTAGTTTGAGGAGCAGCAGGCTTTTGAGAAGAGTCGCAAGTTCCTCCGGCAGCTTGAAATTTGCTTTGCGGAAAACCCCGCACATCACCAGAAGATTATCAAGGTCCTCCAAAGTGGTGCAGACTGCCTGCCCCAGGAGATTACTGAGGTATTTTTTCCTGTCCTTCCTTTCCATTTTCATCTAGGCCTTAGGCCCTTCCCTTCTCCCTTTCCCTCACTTAGCCGATATCCTCTTGCTTCTGGGTACCGTGCGCTTCTAGAGGAGATGAAGAAGGCACGGACCTTTTAAGGCTTGTCTGTAGCATAATTCACTGGAATGGGGGTTGATTGCCCCCTGAAACCGGATCCTGGCTGACCTTCCCAGGCGCAGGAATCCCCTCAGTGCCCTGGAAGGAAGAGGTTCAAGGAAGGAGGTGATGATGGGGCCCAGGAGAGGCTTATTGCTCTGCTTGGGTTAATGCCTGACCTGGAGCTCAGTAGGGCAGGATAGAGGGTGCTGTTATTAGGAATCAAACTTATAAATACTCCTCCTGTGTAGGCAAGCAAGGAGGGAGAGGAAATTCAAGAACTTTTATCTAGCCAAGAGAAGCTTCTGTGTGTCTCCCAGTTGACTAGAAAAATAGAACTTGGAAGTATATGGGACTGGTTTGGAATATGGCCTAGAGAGGATCTGGGGATTTCATCTTTCCCTCTACACCTCTTCCTAGCTCAAGACACAGATGTGGCATCTCCTTAAGGGCCACGACCACCTGCAGGATGAGTTCTCCATCTTCTTTGACCATCTGCGCCCAGCAGCCAGCCGGATGGGTGACTTTGAAGAGATCAATTGGACTGAAGAGAAGGAATATGAGGTAAAAGCCCTGAGGCTGCAGTAGGGCTGTGAAGGGAGAGGCCTGTGTAGGAGGGGTTATCTGTCCATGGTCAATGTTGAGTGGCACCACCTTCTCCCCAGTTTGATGGCTTTGAAGAAGTGGCGCTGCCTGATGTGGAAGAGGAAGAGGAGCCTCCCAAGATACCCACAGCCCCAAAGAACAAAAGAAGAAAGGAGATTGGGGTACAGAACCATGACAAGGTACACCAAGCTGTTGGAGATGGCCCATTTTCCATTAATCAAGACTTGAGTTTCTGCCTAAATGTTTCTCTGGCAAAGCTTCTGGGATCTGAGGCTGCTGTGGACATGCAGAGCCCATGGGAAGAACAGTGCAGTTGCTAGAGGCCCCACTCTGGATTGCTTCATTAGAAGAGTCTGTTTCCCATTTTTTTTCTTTTTAAAAAAAAAAAAAAATTTCTTTATTGATTTCAGAGAGGAAGGGAGAAGGAAAGAGAGATAGAAACATCAGTGATGAGAGAGAATCATTGATTGGCTGCCTCCTGCACACCCCACACTGGGGAATGAGCCCGCAACCCAGGCATGCGCCCTCAGCCGGAATCGAACCTGGGACCCTTCAGTCCACAGTCTGATGCTCTATCCACTGAGCCAAGCCGGCTAGGGCTGTTTCCCATTTTCTTTCTAGTTCAGAGCTATTTCTCTTGCCCTTGGGTCTTAACTTTTTCCTTTTCTGTTTATGTGAAAAAATAGAACTAAGATTGCCCATTTTAATAATGATAATGGCTAGTCCTTAGGTGTCTTATAAAATATATATCTCTTGGAAATATTTTCAATGGATTATTCACTCATTTAATTCTCACAATAAAAAAATAAAAAATAAAAAAAATAAAAATAATTCTCACAATAATCCTATGAAGCGATCGCTCTTGTTTGCATTTACAGAAGAGGAAACTCAAGTGCAGAGAGGCCATTGCCTGGGCCCCATATTTAATAAGTGGCAACGCTAGGATATGAGCCCAGGGAATCCAGCTCCAGAGCCTGCTCATACTGCTCTCGAATGCTCTTCAAGAAGTAGTCTTTTTATTTTATTATTTTAAAAAATATGTTTTTATTGATTTTTTTTTTTTTTTAGAGAAAGAGGGAGAGGGACAAAGAGTTAGAAACACTGATTGGCTGCCACCTGCACACCCCCTACGGGGGATTGAGCCTCAACCCAGCACTTGCCCTGACCAGGAACTGAACCGGTGACCTCTTGGTTCATGTGTAGAGGGTGAACCAATGAGCAACACCAGCTGGGCAAGAAGTAGTCTTTTTTTTTTTACTCCTCACCCCAGGATATTTTTCTATTGATTTTCAGAGAGAATGGAAGGGAGGGGGAGAGACAGTGAGAGAGAAACATTGATGTGAGAGAGACACGTCGATTGGTTGTCTCCCACATGTGCTCGACCAGGGTCAGGGATGAAGCCTGCAACTGAGGTATGTGCCCTTCACCAGAATCGAACCCAGGACCCTCAGTCTGCAGGCCGAAGCTCTATCCACAGAGCCTAACCAACTAGGGCAAGAAGTAGTCTTTTTAATGCATGTCCCTTTACTCCATGTCCCTTTACTCCATGTCTCTTACTATTTCTTAGGGGAGAACTTTATAGGAGCTCAGTGACCATGGGCAATTTATTTAATATCTCTTCAGTTTTTTCATCATCAACGGGAATAAATATGGTACTTATGTCTTGGGTTTATTAAATAGCATCATTGAGTGAGCCTTCCATATGTACAAAGCCTCTCTCAAGGTGATTGGGAGGGGAGAGCTCAAAGCACAGGGAGATGGAAACAAAGACAGATGAGTGAGCAGATCATATCTTATGTTGGAGCTCTCCGGTGTCTTTGCCTCAGATTATATTTGACTTAAATATTCCTTGAAACATCTAGGCAACTGGGATATGTCAGTTTTGGGGTCATTTAAGAATTGTTTTAGGGATTCACAATAAGCTTTAATCGAGTTTAGAGGCTGATTTCCTCAGGCAATATAAAGATGGTATATAATGAAAGAGAGAGGATGGGATTGGCAGGGCCAGAGCAAGCTCTTTCTCTCTTGCTACCAAAATGCTTGGCCGCTAACCAAGCCCAGATATCTCCTAGGAGACTGAGTGGCCAGATGGCGCCAAGGACTGTGCCTGCGCATGCCATGAAGGAGGTGCTGATTCCAAACTGAAGAAGAGCAAAAGGAGAAACTGCAGCCACTGCAGCAGCAAGGTGAGGGCAGGGACTGTACCGAGAGGCATCAGACCTGCCTACCTCGGCCACCCTCCAGCTTGCCTTATTGTTGGGGTATTGTTTGCTATCACAAATGTGAACCTTGTATGCACACATGGAATACAAACAGAATCTTTTAAAAATATATTGTGGGTTTTTCTTTTTTAAAAATATATTTTCATTGATTTCAGAGAGGAAGGGAGAGGAAGAGAGAGAAACATCAATGATGAGAGAGAATCAGTAATCGGCTGCCTCCTACAACGCCCCCTACTGGGGATTGAGCCTGCAACCTTGCCATGTGCCTTGACCAGGAATTGAATTGTGACCTCCTGTTTCCTAGGTCAAAGCTCAACCACTGAGCACACCAGTCTGGCAGATTTTACTTTTTAAAGAGAATCCTGTGGATAGTTTTTGGAGTTGGAAAAAAAAATCAGTTCGAATAGTTCCTTCATAGATTTTATTTTTTAATGAAGTAAGCCTGTGTCAAGAAAACAGACCCTAAAGGTAATGCTGGCTCTCTAGGTAGAGTAGAGCTGGTTGGCAGCAAAAACACAGTCCTTGGTAGAAGAGCTGTTGAATCCATACTCTATTCTGGGCATTTAAAATCCTTGAAGCAGGCGTGCATCTTGATTGACTTGCTGAGCATCCCAACAGGGCTTCCTCCTTTGGCTGGGCCCCCTAAGACAAAGGAGGGTCAGGAGACCCTTGACCCACAAGGCCATCCCCGCAGGTCTATGACAGCAAATCCTACAAGAGCAAGGAGCCCCATGAGTTGGTGGGTGGCAGCCCCCACCGAGAGGCCAGTCCTATGCCTGGTGCAAAGGAAGCTGGGCAGGGCAAGGATGTGATGGAGGAGGAAGCCCCAGAGGAACAAGAAACCATTGAGGCAACCCAGAGCAGGACTGGCAGGAGCACCCGGCAGGGAGAGAGGCCTATTTCAGGTGAGTGATCTGGCTGCCAGTCCAGCCTTTCTCCATTTACTTCTGTCTTATTCTTACACACTTCAAGTAAAAATGTATTTGAATCTGGTAAATCACAGTGTTGTCAAGGACTGTTACTAATACACCAATAGGAAACCCTTCTGTTCAGCCTTAATTTTCTCTCCTGTGGCTTTAATACTCTTGCAGAACTAAAAATGCTACAAAATCAACATGATTCAGCCTTTTCTTGTATTCCCATTCCTGAATCCCTTCTCTATCTCCAGAGCCTCTGTGATCTGCATTCTAAAGACTCCAGCATTATCAGCTTTGGCAGGCAGATATTTTTTTATTTATTGATGTCTAGAGAGCGCGACATCGTTTTGTTGTTCCACTTATTTATGCATTCATGGGTTGCTTCTTGTATGTGCCCTGATGGGGATAGAACCTGTAGCCTTGGTGTATTGGGACGATGCTCTAACCAACTGAGATATTATATTAGGCTAGGGGCGCAAATATTATTTCTTTTTTTTAAAAATATATTTTATTGATTTTTTACAGAGAGGAAGGGAGAGAGATAGTTAGAAACATCGATGAGAGAGAGACACCGATCAGCTGCCTCCTGCACACCCGCCACCGCGGATGTGCCTGCAACCCAGGTACATGCCCTTGACCGGAATCGAACCCGGGACCCCCCAGTCCGCAGGCCGACGCTCTATCCACTGAGCCAAACCGGTTTCGGCTTATTTCTTTTTTTAAAATATGTTTTTGTTACTGATCAGTGAGAGAGCAATCAATCAGCTGTCTCTTGCATGCCTCCCCCTGGGGGATCAAGCCCACATCCTGGGCATGCGCCCCAACTGGGAATTGAACCGTGACCTCTCCATGCATGGCGCGACACTCAACCAACTGAACCACACCGGGCCAGGGCTTATTTCTTTAAACGTGACTTTAGCCCTGACCCCCACCTCACTCTTTTGGATTAGAATTTTGTCACAGTATCTTATCAGAGTGACCCTGTGGTAATCTGAAGTCAGTCCTTAGTTGCATCTCCACCCTGTCCACACTGTTAGATCTTTGTTTCCTCCTAAGCAGGATTGGCAGTGGGGAGCACTTTGCTGTCCCCTCAAGAAGTGATTCTTACAGAACGACAGCTCCTCCTGGATGGCCCACCGCCCAGCTCACCAGAGACTCCTCAGCTTCCCTCCAACACTGGAGTTGTTCTAGACACTAGGACAACCCAGGTCAAACCGGAGGTTTCCTGCTGCACGGAGGTCCCCAGGCTTCAGGATGAGGGGGAGGGCCATCAGGCAGCAGGTGACGCCGAGTCTTCCACGCTGGTCTGCGATGCTTCAGAAACTCAATGTTCTGGAACTCTTGAACCCCCTGCTTCTTTCCCGAGTCCTGTTTCCTCCAGGATCAGAGACGTAGGGAGAAGACAGGTGCCTGGGAAACCAGATACTCAAGAGAGCTGGCTGCCTTCAGGCAGAACTGGTATGAAGGCATCAGACAGGAAGTCCTCAGTCCATGAATCTCCATCAGGAATTGACACCGCAGAGACTTCTCCCAAAACCCCTAAAGGAGGTTTGGCTAAAGACAGTGGAATACAGGCCAAGGGTCCGGAAGGGGAGCCGCAGCCAAAGGCCACAGAAGTCACCGTGTGTGCGAACAACAGCAAGGTCAGCTCCACCGGGGAAAAGGTGGTCCTGTGGACACGGTAGGTCGGGGTGGGTGTGTGTATAAAGCACGTGGACCACATCCATGAGACTATTCAGGACTCATCACAATGTATGGTTACAGGGAGGCTGACCGTGTGATCCTCACCATGTGCCAGGAACAAGGAGCACAGCCCCAGACTTTTCGAATCATCTCCCAGCAGCTAGGAAATAAGACTGCTACTGAGGTAAGTGGGCGGGGGGAGTCCTCTACAGATTCAGATCCAGGAGAGGCAGGAAGAGGACAGGTTGGCCAAGTAAGAGGAGGTGATTGTAAAGCTCTGCTGAGGAAGGGCCTGGCTTCCCAGGGTCTTGTGGTGCTTCTAGAAGAGAAAGGGCATTGGATTTCGAGGTGGAAGCCCCAGAGATTCCATTGTAGTTTCGGTTTTAGGAGTGACTTTGGACAAAATATTTAGCCACTAACCTACGCTCTATCCACTGAGCCAAACTGGTCTTGGCAAACCTGAATTTTCTTATCTTTGAGGAGGACCTTATTGTGTGGAGAAAACAAGGTTGTTTAACTTGGTCTATAACGCTTTATGTTACTTGGAGACAGGGAACACCAACCTTCCCCTCTCCTCCTAGGTTTCCCACCGTTTTCGAGAACTCATGCAGCTCTTCCACACCGCCTGCGAGGCCAGCTCGGAGGATGAAGACGATGCAACCAGCACCAGCAATGCAGACCAGCTCTCTGACCACGGGGATCTTCTGTCTGAGGAGGAGCTGGATGAGTGAGACTCAGGAAGCATGT